TAATTAACCGCTTGTTAATTACTAACAGGGCATTGCCATGCTGATATCTATGACAAAGTTCCCCCCAAAAATGCCCAAAATAATTTAAAAATTGGGGTTAATTAGGGGTTTTTGCCAAAAAATCCCTGTCCCTGGCAAGCTGGGGGGAGCCTGGTAGATGAGCACTGATCCAGCACCTTTGGAGAGAGTCAGGACTTGGGGGGCCCCCCAAATTTCCTCTCGTGCTGCTGGTTTGGGGGCAGCCCATCACCTTGTGTCAGGGCTGGAGTTAATGAGAGCCAGGGGAGCTGCTGCTGGTGGTTAATTAGCATTAATTATTATTTGTATTAGCCCGTAGCTGAGGCGAGGGGCAGCGGGAGGGGGGAGATGGATGGACAGACAGATGGATGGACAGGGGGTGGCACCGGGTGGCTTTGGGGCCCCCATGGTCCCCATGGTGGGGTGAGGGCCGTCCATGGCTCAGGGAGGGGCACAGCCCCAGGGGACCCCAGCAGGGACAGTCCCCAAGGGCACACAGGGACCTGCCAGGTGGTCCTGGGGGCACCCATTGCCCGGGCCAGGGGGGCACCTTCTGCTGCACCCAAGGGCCCCGAGGGGCACCCACTACCGTGCCCAGGGGGTCTGGGGGGGCACCAGTGCTGTGCCCAGGGGTGCTGGGAGGGCACCCACCACCATGTCTGGGGGTCCTGGAGGGCTCCCAGGGCTGTGCCCAGGGATCCTGGGGGGTATCTGCTGCTGCACTGGGGGGGGTCTGGGGGACACCTGCTGCCACACTTTCAGGGTCCTGGGCCATGGTGGCCATGGCACGTGGGGCACACGACACGCCCGAGGCCCCAGGTGTCACCGTGAGTGGCTTGGCCTAGACATGGCAGTGCCCCACTGCCCCTCATCACCCCTAGAAAGCCCCTGGGTGCAGCCCACCCCCTTGGGGACCACCCCAGAGTGTTCCCGGGGCCAGGGACACCCCCAGCCCTGTCACTGGGGTCAGAGACAGCGGGCACAGCACAGTCGGGGCCAGGGCTGTGTCACCCCCGGGGCTCCCACCCTGGGGCTGTGCCACGGGGAAACTGAGGCGCGGTGGAGGACGAGGGGGGTGAGGCCATCGGGAGTGGGTGGCAGCCCCCCCTCCTGTGCCAGCGCGGTGCCGGGAGCCCGGGCCCAGCGCTGCCATTTATCTTCCCTGGTTAGGGAAGGGCTGGCAGGCAAGCGGTGACGGGGCGGCTCCTTAACGAGGGAAGACGGATGGCACCGGGCGGCTCCGGCTGCCACGGGGGGGACCATGGCAAGAACCAAACCTGTTTTTTCCCGGTTCTCATGCTTCTTTCCCCCTCTCCTCTTCCTTGGGAGAGGCAGCGTCCCCTGGAGATTGCAGTGCTGTGACCGACGGAGATTCCCCGGGGACACTCGTGGTTGTGGGGAAGACACGGGGTGGCTTTGAACAGGGCGACAGTTCTGGTGGTGGCACGAGGCTGGGTGGGTGAGAGCAAATCCTATGGGATCCCCAGCTGGGCCATCAGTAGGTTCCAGAGTTAACAGCATCTGACCACACCATCGCTGCCCGTGCGCTCGGGTTGGTGCACCCGCATCCCCGAGGAGCAGCAGACCCCGGGACTCCTGTCCTGGGGGCAAAGGACAGGACTCTGTGGGCACAGCCCTCCCGTTCCCGCTGCTCCCAGACCCCGGTGCCTGCCCGCCCGGCGCGAGCCAATTAAGAGCCGACTCTGGTCGGTTGTAATTAGCGGCACCTTCTCCCGGCGCAGCGCTTCTGCATTTCACTCGGGATTTCAGCAGCCGCCTTGTCACTGTCACCCAGCGCCGCGATCTCCCCGCGAGGCGCCGGCGGAGATTTGATTACCCAAAGAATTCTGCAGCGGCAGCGGGTCCAGCCGCGGAGCCGCTTCTCCAGGCGGTGACGGCTCCTCCGGCTCTGCCG